AAATTTTTCTTTTGAATCATAAAAAAACAAAGTGAAATTCCTAAATAATATCAAATCTAAGTTGACATATGTAAATGATTTATGCTTATTTTAACTTTTACTTTTTATCTTTTAAAGATTTCAAATGCAGATTGACAGGAAATATTTTATATTCAGTACAGATTTATTAATTTAATAAGTTTACAAAATTAATTTAGTTTACCTAGCTGAAATATTATTTGCAAATAGTTCACCTATACAGATAATGATAAAATAATGGAAATATTTTATTCTACCATCAATTTTTTTTCCTTCAAGTGATTTTTTTTTTTTTTTTTTTTTTGGAGTCTGGTTAACTGAGATGATACGGGACTGCGGGACTACGGGACTACAGGATTACCAAATGTTTTTTTTTCTTTTCTGTTTACAATAAATTTTTGAACGAATAGAACATGTTTTTAGGACAAGAATTTGATTTGAACAGGGATTCGATTGACTAAATTAAAATATAGGTGGACATGCTTTTGGGTCATTATCTGGTCAATCAAGCCAAGTGATAAAATTAGATTTGCTGATAGTATATGCCGGATTAAATGATTAGACAGTCCTATCATGATATTTTCTTTATCTTATCAAAATGACTTTTTGAATTAAAAAGGAACTGGAACGGATTTGTATTACTTTGATTGCAAAGCGAAATGCTGCATTGTTGACGAAAATCAAACCTACATTAGTTGATCACTAATCATTTTATCATTTCTTATCATTTCATCTTTTCTTACTAAAATTACATTTTATATTTACCATCAAGAATTAAAAAATATTCCTTACAATGTACAATTTCCTCTTAGCGATAACTTCATTCGGATGCAATATTTGCTTTTTCAAGAAGTGATAGTAATTATCAGGTTCTTTTGCAATTGCTAATTATCAGTTCTTTTGCTAGTTCTTTGTTCTTTTGCAATTACTCTACTCAGTGGTTTGAAATTTCACTCACAACTAGGCTCATTGCTAGGCCAAAAGCCTAGCAATGAGCCTAGTTGTGAGTGAAAAAAATAGCATTAGTCTTATTTTTGAACAACTGCTTCTGTGAGCGATTATATTTTAAGCATTTTTTTTTTCCAGACTTGTCTCATAGCTTAAATGATGATATATAATAAAGCTTATAAACCAGAGCTTATAATGAGGAGCTTGGATCATATAGCTCAGTATGTGACCTCTTGGTTCAAATTTTATCCTCTCCTGACCTTATGTAATATCTAATTTTATTAAGAAAGGCCAGCATTGCCTGTACCATCACCGCCACTATCATCATCATCATCTGTTCGGTTGATTAGCACTAATGCGCTTCCTTCCTACCTATACCCATACATACACACACACACAACACATATATATATATATATATATATATATATATATACATATACACATACGTACATTCACACATACATGAATGTACAAACTCTTATATATTGTATACGGTAGCTAAACACATCCACACATCTTTTCAACAATTTTCACAACTTTATGGAAATATTCATTTGGTTCAATACCGATTGATAAGTGTAATTTATAAAGAAAGAAAGCAATCAATCAATATTGTTATACTTCAATGCTTGATTTTAAACAGGATAAAATTACTCATTTGATGTTAATTAGTTAGAATTAATTACTTGGATTTTAAAATTTCAATTTTGGATTTATTCTTCTTCTCCTTCCTCCTTATTCTTCCAAAATTTCCATTTTATGTGTTTGTATTGTCATTTCTATTATATCAATTTTAAAATGATTAATTTTAGATTTGAATTTCCTCGACCGTCAATAGCTAGTCAACAACCCGAACTAATGCAATCATCATTTGCTACTCCAGGATTTCCTACACCATCCTTTGTTGATCCAATACATTCGCAACCACCACCGGCTCATCAACGAATTGGTTCATTGCTGTATTCTATTGATAAGACGAAATTTGGGAGGAATAATATCCCGGAAAAGATATGAGGAAATTTCGGTGGAACAACATCCCGGAAAAGATAAGAGGAAATTTCGGTGGAACAATATCCCGGAAAAGATAAGAGGAAATTTCGGTGGAACAATATCCCATATACAAGAGTTTTTTGGTGCGATAGAAAAGCTCTTAAAAAGAAGAAAAATGATAATAGCTAAGTGATTAGATCAAAAACACTCTGATTAAATCAAAAACTCAAATTTTAACAAAAATTTCAGATCAATCAACGACTGCATTCCAATTTCCGTATGCTACGGTAGTACCAACAGCGATAGCTTCCGAAAATCATCGTGCTAATCAACAATCCTTAAGGTATTATCATTTTCAATTCTGGTCCTCAAAATTTTTTTTATCATCAAAATTATGCCTGAACCAATACCATCTTTGTTAGAAATTATAAAAATTATAAATTTACAAATTTCTATTATCATTATTATCATTACAATAAATAATCTCTATCCTAAAATGTGATGCTAATTTCGAGTACTGTAAATAATACTTCCAGAAGTGGTCCATCAAGTTTGCAAGCTATTCCAACTATTAATGAATCATTATCAACTGATAAACTTTGCGCTGTTTGTAATGATCGTGCTGTATGTCAACATTATGGTGCTCGTACATGTGAAGGATGTAAAGGATTTTTTAAGGTATTTTGATATATGAAATTTTTGATCAATACTTACTGCAATATTATTATCAATTATAAACTTCCAAATATTCAGTAATTATATGACTGTAAAACGGTACTAATAAATATTATCCATAGTATAATTAAATTACCGTAATAGCTCGATTTTTTTTTTCCACATATTTTATACATTATAATTCATAACTATTATAGTGGACAGTTATCTTCCAGCAAATTACTGTAATACTCAAATAAAAAGTTTCTTTAAATTTAATTAAATTTCATTGACAATTATAATTTTATTAAAAAACTTTTTAGCGAACAGTTCAAAAAAAAGCGCAATATGTATGTACGGGCAATAAAAATTGTACCATTGATAAACGATTTCGTAGCCGTTGTCAATATTGTCGTTTTCAGAAATGTATCGCAGTTGGTATGGTGAAAGAAGGTAAGTTGACAATTTTTTATTGTCACTAAAAACTGAAATGATTATTGAAAATTAACGAATTATTTTAATTAATTTATTTAATATTAAAAGAATCATTGATTAATTTTCAATTTTCAATTATTATTTGCATCATTTTTATTAATGAATCAATTTGAAATGTTTAGAAAAGAAAAAATTATCCAAAAAATATTCAAATATAAAATATATTCAATATGATAATGATAATAAAATTACAAATAAAAATTAAATATAAGATATGAATAAAACATCATATAATTCGATTAAATTATTTTAATTAATACAAAAAATTACCTAATTTTAATTAATTTACAAATGGAATAAAAAAAAAATCACAACGATTATTTCATATCAGTAGATTTATATTTATCTTCAAATGTTTTTTTTTCTTTTTTTTTTATCTACTTTTTTTTCAGTTGTTCGATACGGTAGCTTATCGGGACGACGTGGTCGTTTACCGTCAAAAACAAAAGTGCAACATTCAGACGATCCACCCAGTCCACCACTTCCATTACTAACACTTATCAATAAAGCATATATTGAATCAAAAACAATTGCTACACCAACACTATATGTTCGTCTTTTCGTTCTTTTTTTT